CCTCTGCTGCTGAAACTTGCATCTGAGTACGAGCGAGAAGACGTCGGCGACTTGCGGGATCTCTTCCAGAGGGTTGTTGAAGTAGCTGTGGAGATCGGAGAGGAGGAGCTGCAGTGAGGAGAAGATTTCTTCCATGGTGGAACGGCGGTACCAGGAGGAGAAGGAGGAGGAGGCAGGGGAGGGGGAGGAGGAGGAGGGATGGGAGGGAGGGAGGTGGCTGGTCGTTGGGTTGTTGATGACAAGAAGTCGGTCGGGCCACTGAAGCATCTTCTCGAGTTCCTGGAGAGGATGAAGTGAGGAAACAAAGTTGAAGAAGCAGGGATGAGGGAGGAGTGGGAAGGTGAGGAGGGGAGGGAGGGGAGAGGAGAGGACGATGAGGGGGAAGAAGAGGAAGAAGAATACTGGGGGGCAAGGAAAGGGGAGGGAAGCCAGAATGGGGAGCAAAAGGAGGAAGAAGACTAGGGTGGGAAGGAGAATGGGGAGAGGAAATAGGAGAGAGCTGGCCGGGAGGCGGAGGGGAGGGAGGGGAGAAGGAAGAGTGGAAGGGGGAAAGGAGGGAGGGGAGGTGGGGAACGAGAGGGGAGGGGAGGGAAGGGGGTACCAGCTTGAGGGCATCTAGGATCTCAGGCTCTCTGCTGCCGAGGAAGTGACGGAGGAGGGAGACGGAGAGGGCGGAGGACTGGATGTTCTCATGCAGGTCCATCGCTTCTCTCAACGTCCGCAGCATCCCCGTCACCTGCTTGCAGGGTGAGGGCATGCAGACTGAATCTGAAGGAATCATCGACTGCTGCTATCCTCCTGCTCCCTGCTCCCTGCTCCCTGCTCCCTGCTCCCTGCTCCCTGCTCCCTGCCTCGTTCTCCCCCACTCCTCACTTCGTTTCTTCCTTCCTACCTCAACCCTGAAACCTTATTCCTTCTTCTGCCCGTTTTTCTTGCCTTTCTTCCTTCCTCCTTTCCTCCCTAACCCTGTCCCTGCTCTGCTCTGCTCTGCTCTGCTCTGCCCTGCCCTGCTCTGCTCTGCTCTGCTCTGCTCTGCTCTGCCCTGCCCTGCCCTGCCCTGCCCTGCCCTGCCCTGCCCTGCCCTGCCCTGCTCTGCCCGGCTCGGCTCGGCTCGGCTCGGCTCGACTCCTCTCCCCTCCCCTCTCCTTCTTACCTCTCCCCAAGTGCACAACAGACTTCCAGACATCGGATCGAAGCAGCCAACAGCCACCAGCTTCTCGTACATCAAGATGCTCAGGACGCCGTAGGTATCGGCCCAGGGCCTCCTCTCCAGCACCTGCCCAGCTCGCCAGTCAGCTCACCAGCGCTGCTTGACAGCAGAAACATCACAGATAGGACATGGTTCTTGAGCCTGCGAGCAAACAGCAAGTCACAGCAACCTCACAAGACAACCATCTTCCTGCTAACCTTCTCACAGCGCGCATGTAGTGAGCTTCACAGTACTTGTTCCAGAGGTCGGAGGACGGAGCTTCGGTCTGGTTGATCTCTTCTGTCAACCTGCGACAGCCACAGCAAGAAACTTGATCAGAGATGAAGACGAAGAATTCCTTCCCCCCGTAATCAGCCCTCCCTACTGCTCCTGCCCCTGCCCCTGCCCCTGCCCCTGCTCCTGCTCCTGCTCTCCCTGCCCCTGCCCCTGCCCCTGCCCCTGCCCCTGCCCCTGCTCCTGCTGCTGCTCTTGCTCCTGCTCCTGCACCTCCCCCTCTGCTTGCG